TATCTGTTTGACTGGAGAGGTCAATCGGTAGCCGCACGGTCGCTTGCGGCAGAACGGTTTTCGCCTCTGAAGCTTGTGATGCACCTAATTAGGACCGTACGATTCGGGGTTGTGAAATGGGCTGTGGAATGGTATGATACGCAGCTGCTAACATAACTTTTACCTCCGGCAACCTCCCCGTCATTGGTATGCGAATCGACTGAAAGGTTCACGGGAAGTTAATTGAACAGACTTTATTGAGAATGCATCAGTGAGGTGAATCAGATCATCCTAAAATAGAAGACCCCAACTGTGCCTTTCCATTGGGACTGCTATCCAGATGCTAATCAATTGTTTACTCTTTAACCTCTCCCAAAGGAGTCAGTAACTCTGAGGCACTCATTCTTTTGTATCCTTAGGTTTCAACCGTGGATCGGTTTTTCCTCGGCGGTCCGATGGAATTACGCGGCTACAAATTTTACAGTGTAGGTCCTGGCGAGCCTCAGTTGCTGCCCCCGTCTCTGACCCGCAGCAGTGTGGATGAGTCGGGGATGGCCTCAGAAAGTCCTAGTTGTCCCATTGGCGCTTTGGCTTCTTGCTTTGCTGGACTACACCTCTACACTCCCCTGCCGTTCATCAACTCAGCCACTGGCGCTTCCTTCGCAAGACTCCATGCCTTCACTTTGACAGGTGAGCTAGAAACTATTTCTGGGGTGCATTCTGCTTCAATATTAGAATTCGTTCAACGTCGATGTATATCTTAAGGAGAGGCACGTGGCTGCGGAAGTAGGATAACGATCGCATTAATATTTTGGCTAACTTGTTTTACCATTCCCAGCCTTATCTGCTTCCCAGCTTTTGAGTAAACGGTTTCAGAGAACATTTGGGACTTCATAATCAGAGTGAAGGGGCATAATGTGGGGACTTCTAATGTGGCGAGAATTCAATAACCGAATTCACTGGCTTTGAGTTCCATGGATTGAGTGAAAGGTATGCAGTGAGAGGATGTAATCAACACTTGATTGCGGACCCATGGACGGGATATGTGGACGTCAGGTTGGACAGATGACACTTAAATTTGTAGTTTGATAATGGACGAATGACGGGTTGAGGTGTAGTCGATGCGCCAAGGACGGAAAGACATATTGACAAGTAAATGGAAATCCTTTCAATGAGGTTTGAGTAAAATCTTCGGTGAGTAGATAATCACTTCAACTAGCAAAAGTGGTAGGAGCAGTGATCGGGTTGGTGCTATTCTGCCTTTTTTATGAAGTATATTTTCTTCTCTTCAAACTCAAGGATGTCTTCTTGCCGACCCAATACGGGAATGGCGGTTGGCGCGAGCCTCTGGTGACCGATTCTTTACTAGTTGCCAAGCAACGGCTGCGTCGGTGGTGGGAGCCGGGCTGGTTCTACGATTTGCAGGCGCTCTTCGCCTTGAAATCAACTACTGCTTACCCCTTGCAGGTTCGCTCCTATTCCCTGGCGCTAGCTGTCCTACCCATCTACCCAAGCCCAGTTTTCAGATGGGATTTGGAATTAACTACTCGTAGTCGATTTTGTCCTAATTCTTTTGGAGCAGCCGAACTTAGTAAATTTAAATTGAGTTCGTATATAATCTACTGGTAGCTGATGGTTCAAGTATTCTCCTCTTTCGAGCGTTTGTAGACGTCGCGTGGGGTGGAGGAGGGGTGTTATGTCCGCTACCTTAAAGTTCACTTTCTCAAATGATGCATGGTTTGAGCGTTTATTTGCTGCTTGGAGCAGTCTAGACCTGAAAAGGGGTTCAAGTACAGTTTTTTTTCATTAAAGAAAAGATGAATACGTTGCTCTGCTCCTCGGATGTACGCCTTTTGGCAATTATCATGTTGGGTGTGTGTACGGGTGTGAGGTTGGTGAGGAGGCGAACCGTGCACGCTTTTCATTCGGCAAAAACTATCGCCAGTAGTCGAACTTCAGGTCTACAAGGCAGCTGCTACTGTTTTGCTCATGGAAGGCATAACAAGACAAAAATACTGTTTGTGTTACCGTGCAAGGAGAGAAAAGCGTTGCTCACAATTATTAAACGTGCATCAGCTCCTTCGCGTCTTGCGCTTTGGCAACAAAGTTGTGGTGCAGGCTGACTCTTATAACATAATTTCATCGATGAAAACAAGCTATAAACTTGTAGACAAACTAATGAGCGTTATGGTGTCCCACCAAAAATGCAGTTGGAAATCTTATTTAATCCATTTGCTGACGTGACGGGCTTTTAAACAAAGTAAACTGAAAAGGACGATTGAAGTTGACGAAAAATTATGATGTAGATGGTAATAGAGCTGATGCTGCACAGTCTGGCTGTCTGCTCTCAGGATCCCGAACCTGGGACTTGATGAGGGGGTTAGCTGAGGAAACTTTATTCGGCGTTATATACAGAAAGAAAGGAAATGAAGGGGGAGAATTGGTGAGACGGAAAGCTGATGCCGCACTGGGAACGTTTCTCCCCGCTCCTCACGAACCGAATTCGTGTTCGAATAGCTCTCCCGCCTTTCCCGTATGAAGACAAACTTAAACACATTTGTCTGTATATACATATGTATATGTAATTGTAAGGGTAGGACCAGTCTGCTCATCCTCAGATCCTGAGCCTCGGAATTCAGGAATGGGTTAGTTTGCAAAAGGTTTACTCGTAATCGTGCGCAGAAAGAAGGGAAATGGGGGAAAACGGATGAGGCGGAAAGCAGATGTCAGCCTGGGAGGGGATCTTTACAGTCTTCTAGCATTGGGTTCGTGTTGGATTTGATTTTCCGCCTCGTCTCTACAAAGGCAAGCTTGAACACACTAGCATGGACTAGAGTAGAAAGCATTTAGTTCGGCAAAATGAATGCATTTGGGCTTAATTCGCAGGCTAGCCCACGTGTACAATGCCAAGACGAATAACGAAGCATAAACTCCCACATATCAGATAATCTCGTAGACTAAGCATTAAACTGTCTCTCTCCCCTCTTGGGTCACGTTCTTGGTACTCCTCTCAGTACTCCGCCCACCCACTTTCCCGCCTCAGCCATCATATCACACTCGGCACAGCAAGAAAGCATCAACCAGTCAGTTCCACCACGCATCACCTTTCATGGGACTGAGGAAGTGCACTTGATCTCCTCAGCATTTTCAGCTGGTTCTGCATCTGTGATAGGTTTAACAGTCAGAATGAGGGCCACATCGCTACAGGACTAATCCTTGCTTCATTCCTCTACAACATATGTCCAGCGGGTAATATTGAATCAAACACAGTCCCGCACATTGGAGCATTCGAAGTAAGTGTAGCGTCCCAAGGCTTCCCATAGTGTGGAAGAAGGCATGGTGAGGTCGAATACATGTGTTCCGAAGACGACAAGGCAAATGGAGCCTGAGCGTGGTTCGAAGGCCAGCCCCGTGTACAGGGACCAGAGAAACTCTAAAGTGACCTCCAAACGTCAGGTAGTCATATAAAGCATTTCAGTAATGTCATCCCCGCCATCATCACTACGCAGATGTAGTATGGAGAAATCGGAAACGGCGCTTGTCTAGATCGTTTACAACGACGATGTACCTGGAGTTGTTAATAGCCTATCAGTGGTTACATGGGACAAAGT